TAGCTAAAGTACCTTCAAATCTAGATCTGATGTTCTCTTTCCCATTCTTTGACGTTCCTGCGTTTTTAATATTTTCTAGTTTCAAATGTTACACCATTCAATCGGGTAATTCTAAGTGCTTGGACACACAGCGGCTTTAGTAGATCCATTAGGGGCAAAGGAGCAGAACCCAAGGGATCGTGCTGAAAAGTAAGAGAAATGAGTCCAGAGCAGCACGGTCTGGCGGGACGCGACTCAAGGGAGCTGAGCTGAAGCAATAGCAGCTCGGAGTTCTTCCTCACTCCAATAGCCCCATCAAAGCTTTCCACACTGTCGATGGATGGGCATGGGTAAGTGTGCCGTTCTTCCTATTTTTGAACATTGTGTCATATTACCCAATTTGGGTAATGTTACCCTTGGGTACCGTCAAGGACGTAGTGTGTGCAGTGACACACAAGTGGCGTGAGCAGTCAATACCGAGCCAATTTTCGGGTGGCCGCGGCCTTACCCCCCGTTGACAACAGCGGTTGAGCAGTGTAATGTCGTGCAAGAGAGATTCTTGGAGCTGCTGTACTTACTCGCTTTGGATGTGTTTTCCAATTGTTTTTCAATATGTTCTTTTCAGGATGGTCCCTTACCTTACCCCGGGACCGATTCGTAAGAAAGCATTACCCTTCCAAGAAGTGGAATTACGTCGGCTGATTGCGATGTATAGTGCTAGCTATTCCAAATATCACGCTAAACTTCCGCCAGGTAAAAAAAATTTGACTACCATTAACTTTATTGATTTCAGCTTTACAGTTTTTAGCAACTGGATTTTACTGCGCTTGTATTTTTTAGATCAGCATCTTTCCCTCATTTTTGCTCCCATTCTTTAATCCTTCTCACTCCTGCTTTAGGATTCATTTTTTTCTTCAAGAATTTACTTCCATTTGGTAATTCCATGGTGTAAAGCCTGAGTCTACCCATATTTTGGCTAGTTGCCAGTAACTTCTATGCTAAAATCAATTCCTACTCTCTTTTTCCTTTCTTTCACTCGAAATTCCTAATTATTCTAAACAGAACCTCACAATCATCTTTTTTTCAGGAGTGAAGTGGGCGTCGTCTGATAAAAATCGCTTGCTAGAAAAATGGTCTCAATATTTAACCTGCATGGGTATAGCCCAAAGGACAAAAGCACAAATCGAAGAGAAATTGCGCAACGAAGTCAAAAGGATCAATAGATTCTTGAAGGCGGAGGTATGTTAATCATTGACTGCATGAAATCTTGCCCTTACTTGTTTAGTTGGCTCAAGAACGCTGCATTGTAGTAGAAGACACTGGCAACATTGAAACGCAGCTTTGTGCCTATTAGAGGTCATTTTTAATTATGATCCAAATTTTTACGTTTTGATAGTTTTTGAATGTGGGTTCAAAAGATCTGGTCGCGTCATCGCGCTCAAACCATTGCATATACCTAGCTAGTTGACTCGACACGATACCTTTAGCGTCAAACCAGGACTTGGCACCTTAAGCTGTGTTTTTCTCTGCTCTCTCTCGTCCGTGGGACATACTCTCGTCATTGTGACTTCGCACAT